GGCACAACCACAGTTCTGACCCACAACGGGATCCGGCAAAAGACTGGCTAGGGTTCCGGCCACAAGGACAGTTAGGGTTATAATTTTGACAGTAGCCATGGAAGGAGAATGGAGGAAAATGGTGGAGACTGAGTATGGTGCAACTGGAACGCCTGAATGTGCTATTTATAGAGAAATAATTTGGGCCCCGTTTGGTGCGACTTTTCACGCGATCTACGGTATATATCTTTTTCCTTATCTAAACGCCAAAAGTCAATGCAGATGTAAACTTCAAAAGTCAATGTACAAAAAAGTCCACAAAGGACAATTTTAGGAAGAAAGAGTTTTTGCATTTTTTCTATTCATCTTTTTGTGTGGAAAGACATGCAAAAAGAGACCTTAACCAAACGGGCTTTAAGCTATTCAGATCTTAATGAAAAACCTAATGGGCCTTTTGACTGTCAGAACTATCAAAAGATCTTCCCAAAAAGATTTACCAAACGATCACCACGATTATTGTTGATTAAAAAAATAAGATGTCTTAAAAGCCAATTCAAAACCCAAACCACTTTGGCCACCAGAATCAGCAATTTGACTATCAAGTTTGAATGAATGATTTATTATATATCACCCGTGATCAGGGAAGAATTTACATTACAAATAAAAATCATGTGAATATTATAAGAAAACAGCATCCAATTGCGCATTGGATATGCTAAATTCATTTAAAGATATTCTTGAATGACAAACTCGTTGCCACGTATGAGTACATAGATTTCCCCATCCCCATAGGTCTTTTTTCTTTTTTTTTTTATGACCACAAATTCATTTTGTGTTTTATTTCTACTTGATTCTAAAAATAATTGAAAACAAAATAGTTATAATTTAATCCTATATCCAACCAAATATATTCAAATACATTCCAACATGGTTTGGACCAAAAAAATCGAGAACCGGTCAGGTCTGTTTTACCCAAAAACTGTTATTTCATCAAAAACATTGATTTGGTCAGCAAACCGCTGACTTGGGCGGTCGAACCATTTAAATTGTTCAACGGTTTTGACCGTTTTTTTAATTTTTGCTAAAACGGACCATCCATTCAGTTCGAACAGTCAGACCGTTCGACCCGAAAACCAGAACTCTGACCAGTTCGTTGTCCAATTTGGTTTTATAAACCTTGCATTCCAATATATTCAACCATATTTTTTGTGGTGTTAACACAAATTCATTAACTAAATCACAAATACATAACATGAATCCCAAGTTTTGGGCCTCAAACCCATTTATTGAAAACACAAACATATATATACACACATCATAGGTCCTTATGTGGCAGGGAGAGCTCTTGTTCCTAATTCATCTACAAATGGGATGAAAATTTTCCCATCCCCATCTGCGTGGGGGAAAAATCATTCCCATTCATGATCCATTCAAGGCATATCTCTTTTAGAATCTAAAATTTGGAAAAAATTGTCATTCCTAAGTGTAAATACTGTCAACTTTGTTTGACGTTCTTCCAAATAAAAGATTCACAAAATGGCTATGTCCATTCTAACCGAATTCGAAGTTCCTCCTCGCATAACAATACTCTTCACTACACCCACCTCACAGCATGTTACAAGCGTGCATTGAGAACATCTTCCCATAAATAACAAGATACAAATAGGGGAGATGTTCCAGATCTACCGCTGCAAGTGATGTGAGGATGGCGGGAGGAGCACATCTGTATTCATTCTAACGACAGGTAGGTAGAAACCCTAGAATGTGCGTTAGTCAAATTAGTTAGGCAGTTCATTGAATGACCTTGCTATTTTTCCACTATCGAAAAGAAAACTATCCATTGGACAAAGCTTGAAGTGATCAACCATCTCACTTCACATAGACCCAAATTCTCTATTCTGTTTTTTTCCTCTGTAAATGCCGATTCAAATTCGATCAATTAATCCATTTATAAAGAAATCAAATTCAGAACGACTTCGATCAGATTTCAAATTTTTGGACTAACAAATGAAATAAATAAGTGCATCCCTAATTAGTCTAGGAGTCTTAGTCCTCAAGTGGGTCCCATTAAAAGTTACCACCCACTAGGGGTGCTCACGAGCTTAGCTTCTCATGAGTTATCCGAGTTTGGCTCATGAAAAGCTTGACTCAATTTGGTTTAAACTGAGTTCGAGTTTGATATATAGGCTCATTTGCTAATCGAGCCAAGTTTGAGCTCAGTAAAACTTGTTTCATGAGGTTCATGAGTGTAGTATAATAAATAAATAATTTTTTATTATATACATATACACGTACATACATACATATACATATACACATAAATATATAAATATATATAATAAATAATTTTTATAATTCTTAATTTTTTGTATGTAAAATAAAAAAATGTTTTCATATATATAATTTTTTATTAAAAAAATATGACTTGTAGTTGAAATCGAGCCAAGCCAAACTTGAACTTGTGAGCTTTGAACCGGGCTGATCTCAAGCTCAACCTAACATGATTTCAGTAAGCCAAGCTCAAATAGCTAAGCATTCGGCTTGACTTGGTTCGGCTCAGCTTGAATCCACCCCTACCACCCACCCATATTGAGCTTATGATATTATTATATTGGATTCATCATCAATTATAAAAATCTGCACATCCTCTCATTTGGATGCTCCTTCCGAGTCTGAGTAACAAATTAAAAGAAAATGCAGGAATTCCACAATTTAATGGAAATCAAATCCCATGTGGGAGACAGTACTCATTCCAAGAAAATGATCAAACAAATGATACTAAAGGAAGCTGTCACCAAGTCATTCCATTTTAAGAAAAAATGACCTCCCCATGTATATGAGTTTTAATGTACGTACTAGTGTGAGCGCATATGTAAGGGCGTCAATTGGATTGGATTTGGTCCAATTTGATCCAGTTCAACGTGAATCCATTACAAATGGGCCAGGTCTAACCCAATCTAATGAATATTTTCGACCAGTCTAATCTTGTTCAAATTTATTTTAGTTTAAATTAATTATAGTTCAAACTTAATCCATTGACACCTATATTACTATCTTGTATCAATGGACCAGATATTGGCTCAATCCAACCCAATCCAATATAAATTCATTACAGATAGACCGGGTCCAATCCAATCCAAAAAATGCTTTGGACCATTAAATCTAGACTGGTCCAATTCAATATGTTTTGTTGGTCCATCCAATCTGTCCAAATTGATTTTGGTTTGGACAGGGTTCATTTCAAAACTGGTCCATTGACACCCCTAGGCACATGCTATTCTATGCATAAAGATGGATTGTTCTTTTCCAAGAACTAATTTCTATGTTATAATGGTTTAAGGAGTATGTAATACAAAGATACAGGATGGTTTCAAAAATACATTCTAATAGGAATAGATGAGTCCGGGTCTGCTCCTCCTTACAGAGTGCTCCTCACATGGTCACACCTACCTAACAACATGTACCTGCCATATATCGAAAACATCTTGCATACTTGTATGTTGTAATTCATGGGAGATGTTTTCAGTACATGGTGGAATGCGACTGTAAGGTGGTATGAGGAGCGCTGTGAGGAGCAGATCTCAATTTAGAATAGATTGCCAGTCACCAACAGTTGTTACCTTAAAGCTGCATTTGGAAACGATGCAAATGGAGTGTAAATCCTGGTTTAGGGTAAATTTGCACTTTGGTTCACTTTTGCCTGTGTTTGGCAACATTACATTTATACATTGACAAATTCAATGCAGATTTCTGATTTCCACTGTAGAGTTATAAACATTCAAAATGTCAAAAATTCCCACTCTACACACCAATGCTTGCCAGTGAATTGGCATCAATTCCGAGTTGGCAGCCACCCCCAACTGTACTTTGGGCCTAAAAATTCTGACCTTGGGCTTAACTGTCATTCACCCATTAATCAGTCAATCTGCAAAAAAGTACCCGAGCAAGAAAATGATCTTATGAGATTGACGAATCTGAGAACAGAATAAATGAATAAGGCAAATGGACAGCTTTATAAATCTCCAAAAACATATCAAATTAGGGATTCACGTTCTGAGCTCGAATTTGCAGAGAACCAAACAAATAGCAACAGAGACATCGGATGCCTTTGATCTTCATCATCTTCTTCTACTCTAGCCTAAATTAACAACAACAAAATAAATAAATAAAAAGTGATTCGGGAGAAAATTATTTGAAGTAGTTATTCAACTTGTGAAGGCTTGCTTGAAGAATGTGGAGAGGAAGCTCAGATATTATCATATGCTTCTTTATCATGCCTCTTGATGTTAACTGATTGAAACCGTGAAATATGGGGACCAGATCTAGTAGGCACAATATATAAGCACGTTCAATAAACACTTGATAAAAATATTTTGATAACTGTAAAAAGTTGTTTTTAATCTTTTTCAAAGATAGGTGTGATATAAAAATGAGCAAAGTTTAACAAAGTTTTCTCTCTTATGTTAACTGATCTACTAGGCACAATATTGGAACCGTTGACATTGTTTTAGATGAAGTTTTATGTCATAAATTTTACTCCATTAAAATGTATGTAAAGCAGAATTGGAGTGGAGTTTTACATTGATCTTGATTTACACACCTTCCAAATGACAACAAAACCAAACCGACATATATATTTATATCGCTTCCGAACACAGCCTAAAATTCTAGACTTGCAACTATTTCAAGAAAAAATGACCAAACCCAGTGGTCTAAACCTAGCGGTCTGTAAGTTGATTGATTGAGAGGAGGGGAAATTTGTTTCCATTGATTGGGGAAACTCTATACCAGCATCAATCCTTTAGATTTATTCGACAAGGTAATGCTCTAACCCTTTTGGTCGTTTTTCATTATCTAACACTTGCATTTTTGGTTGATGTATTT